TTAATCATTATTAAAATATATTTAAAAAGTTGACATTTTTTAATAAATATTTTTTCATTTGTTAGGTGAATATATATATATATATATATAATATTAATGTAATTATTTTTTTTTTATATTTTATAAAGTATCATTTCATCTTTATCTTATTTTTTCATACAAATGTGAAAAACTTTTTATTTATTGTTTTTTTAATTCTCATAACTTCTTCTCTATCTCATTTCTACCATTACCAAATAATTTTTAGCAATAACTCCTCTTTCACTCACTTTCTCTCACACTAAACAAGCAGAAGATTTTCTTCAGTTTTTATGTATATTTGTTTTTCCACAAATATCCTTGGAAGGCAACCCATAATACATAACATCAAAGTACGCATTTTTCCGTTATACCGGAAACGTATTTGCATGATAAAGAATACAATGAAATAAAGTACTCTAAAATACGCGTCAAAATATTAAAAAAAATAAATTTTCAGAGTTAAACACTAGGGTGAGTTCCATATTGGTGTATTAAAAATAATAGTGTAATAACTAAGGTGGGTCCCAGTATGGTTTGGTGACGTGGCAATAGTTTGGCGCAAAAATGGAGGTAACCGGAGGATATAGACTGCAGGGGAAGTGAACCAAGACACAAACATAAGAGAGAGAAAGAGAAAGTATGAATAATGATACACTCTGTTTCTATTCTTCTACCATAACTATGAAGCATATATTTATTAATATTAATAATAATAATAATTGTTATTATTATTATTGTTATTTAATTTAATAATACTCTCTTCATTGTCAATTCCATGTTCAGTTGAGTTGTGATGTGTTGTGTTGTGTTGTGTTGAGTGATCAATCATACACAAACTCACACTTTCCATTCTCTTCTCTTCTTCTTTTCTCTCTCTTTTTGCTCTTTCTCTTTCTCTTTCGTTTTCTCATACTTTGTTTTTTTCAGTTTTCTTCTTTGGGTTTGTAATTTTCGGTTTTCCGAATCCATGATTGCATCTCGCCGGGGAATCCTAACGCCGCCGTCGATTCCTGATCTCCGGTGACCGGAAAAAGCTGCCGCTCGTCAATCCAAATCCCGGCATGGAAGGCCGACACAGCACAGTGGAGACGGTGAACGCCGCCGCCACCGCCATCGTCACCGCCGATGCCAGAGCCCAACCCACCGCCGCGCCGGTTTGTTTCTCTCTCCTCTTTTTTTTTTTTGGTTTCTCTCTCTAAAATATTCATGTTGTTTGTTTGTTTGTGCCTGTGAGGTTGATTCCTCGTTTTTGTTGTTCGATTTCCGAAATTCGATGCCGTTGGGTTTCCGAGATAACAACGTGCGAAAGGGAGAAAAAAATGGGATCTTGTGTTTCGTGTTTTGTGTTTTTCTCTTTTCTGTTTTTTTTTTTATTATAATTTTTTAAGTAATTTTTTTTTAAAAAAATTTAATGATGGTGAAGGTCTGGTCTGGTCTATAGTTGACTCTATGGTGGTGGCGTTGAAAGGTTTTGAAATTTTGAATCGCTTTTTCTGTTTTCTCTTTTCGCTTGTTTTGAACATCTCGAACTGTTTCGTTTATGGCTTTAAAAGGTGTTAAAAGAAGGAAACTTTGGAGTGTGGATCCTGGGCTGTCTCTTTTTTTCCTTTTTAATTTATTTTGCACAATTAATCAGATACAAGGATTTGGATGTGAAGAAACACAGTCAGCTTTGGTTTTTCATTTTCTATTTTTGTAATTTTTCATGTTTTCGTTGATTGATTTACTTACCTATTAGAGGATTAATTCTATTATTAGTACATACCATTTGTGTTAATTTAATGCTTAAGCTTTTTAATCTGCCGTTTTGCGCACTGCAATTCATGTTATAATGTGCTCTTTGTAGTGCATGGTTAAGTGAGAAACGATCCTTTGGGAGGAAATTGTTGAGTTAACAACTTGACATGAGGATATGATTCCGTAAACTTTCTTCCCTTGTTGATGATGAATTTTTTGGATTTAATTGGTAGCATTGTGTTCTGTGTTCTGACTTGTTATGTAGTTCTAATGAAAATTAAAACTGATTATATAATCATGAGGGGACTGACCTCAGTTACCTACTCGCATGGTTTGCAATCCCACAAACTGCTATTTTTTCATGTTTCAGACGTTTGATTGTGCTTTCAATAACCTCTCCAGGTTTCAAAATTGGGACCATTGTGTTCTGAATGGAGAGGATCCAAATTCATGTGTTCTGGGTTTTGGTTTGTTATGTAGTTCTAAATTTCTAATGCGAGTTAAAACTGGTGATTAATAGCGGGGTTGTCCTCAGTTACCTACACGTGCGGTCTGCAATCCAACAAATGCTATTTTTTCATGTTGCAGGCCTTTGATTGTGCTTTTAATAAGCTCTACAGGTTTTATATCGCTAGGTGCTTTTGGCCGATCTCTGAAACTTACGTTAATGTCTGAAACTGGCGGTGCCATTAAACAAATTTGTCTTGCTGAGTACTGAAAATGGAATTTAGATGTGTTTGAAAATAAATTGCGGCAGAAATGATTGGTCTGTTAATATGATTGGTTGATATCGGTGGTTTACTCTTTACTTGCCTACTAATGTCTGTTTATGTGATTCTTCCCTGTGCTGCACAAAAAGTTATCCACACATTTGAATTTTAGATGCTTGTTGATTCTTTTGATTTGATTTCTAACATGATTGCTTACATGTTTTTCATCTCTTTGATGTAATTTGCTAATATATCAAACATCTGATAAACATTGAAAACTTAGACTTTTCATCCTTGCTTTATAAATGGTAAGCCATTAGTTTCAATTGGAAATTGTAAAAGGCTATTAAAGAAGTTTTGAAGAAAGTCAATGTGTGTGCATGTTGATTGGCTTACTATGGAAACTAAAATTCTAATGGACATTCCATATCTGTGTAATATCATTTCTTTTGGCCAAACCACTCTTGCCCTGAAATATTAAACCGTGTAACTTAAACTTGAGCATTGAATAATGTGTAACAAAATGGCCAAAATGATAATAGAGCCCCAGATCAAGATATCCCATGCTTAATTTAGAGAAATTCTGCACTATTTTGGCATATCCTGAAATTTTTCTTTCTTTAGAAATACATTGAATATTGCTAGTGACTATGAGTATTGTTTTGATTCTGTTCCAACTTTTGATGTATAATTGTTTATTCACTGACTGCAGAAAAAACGCTGGGGAGGCTGCTGGAGCCAGTATTGGTGTTTTGGATCTCATAAAAGCAGTAAAAGCAGCAAGCGAATTGGCCATGCTGTGCTTGTTCCAGAACCTGTTGCACCAACAGGTCCAGCTGCTCCTGCCGCACCAAATCCTTCAACTGCTATTGTAATGCCTTTCGTCGCCCCTCCATCTTCTCCGGCATCTTTTCTCCAATCTGATCCACCATCTGCTATTCAATCACCAGTTGGGTTACTTTCACTCTCTTCTCTTGCTGTCAATGCTTACTCTTCTAGTGGTCCTACAACCATGTTCACTATTGGTCCGTATGCCTATGAGACCCAGTTAGTTTCTCCACCTGTGTTTTCCAACTTCACAACTGAACCATCCACTGCTCCTTATACGCCCCCACCAGAATCCGTGCAGCAGACAACACCTTCATCCCCTGAGGTTCCATTTGCTCAATTGTTGGCATCTTCACTGGACCGTGCTCGTAAAAGTAATGGGAATCAGAAGTTTGCATTATACAATTATGAATTTCAGCCTTATCAACAATATCCTGGAAGCCCGGGTGGCCAACTGATATCACCTGGATCAGCAATTTCAACTTCTGGCACCTCAACCCCATTCCCTGATAGACCCCCTACTCTTGAATTCCACAAAGGGGAAACACCAAAGATCTTGGGTGTCGAACACTTCTCCACTCGAAGATGGAGTTCAAGATTAGGATCCGGATCCTTGACACCAGATGGTGCAGGGCAAGGTTCAAGACTAGGTTCAGGATCTTTGACTCCCGATGGTGTTGGGCTTGCTTCACGATTAGGTTCTGGCTGTGGGACACCTGATGGTCTGGGGCAGGAATCCAGGTTAGGTTCAGGCTGTTTGACACCTTTTAGTACTGGACCAACCAATCCAAACAACATCTATGTGCAAAGCCAGCTTCCCAAGGAAGCAACTCTCGCAAACTCGGATGGCACACACCCGAGTAATGCAACAGTAGTTGATCACAGAGTTTCATTTGAATTAACGGGGGAGGATGTTGCTCGATGTCTCGCGAATAAAACGGGGCTTTTGCTTCGAAACATGTCAGGGTCTTCACAGGGTATACTGGCCAAAGACCCTTTTGACAAAGAAAGGGTACAACAAAAAGATCCCAATAGTTGCTGTACAGAGAAAACAGATGACAAGCCTGACAACAATCCTGTAGTAGGAGGAGAGCAATGCTTTGACAAGCAAAATTCTGTAAATTCTTCCAAAGAATTCATTTTTGACAACACAAAAGGTGATGTTTCTGGCACTGCTGCCAATGGCCCTGAGTGGTGGACTAACAAGAAGGTTGCTGGGAAGGAAGGTAGATCATCCAACAGTTGGGCTTTCTTCCCAATGTTACAGTCAGAAATGAACTGATAAGGTTTAGTTTATTGCAACATGACTTAACCTGTATGGTATATATAAAGCAAAAAAGATTTTCAAATTTATCTGCAGAACCTTTTGTATACACTGAATGTATATCCGAAGACTTTGTCTTGAATGCTGTTCATCATCATATGCCTTTGAGGAAACTGTAGAAATTGGATGACCGAGAGCGAGACTCGGATGAAACAAAGTTGTTATATTATATTTATTCCTTTAGGATCCAAAAAGTAGAATGCAAGGGGAGCATAGTTTGTAGGTAGGGACCTATATTTATCATATATAATTCTATGGAACATTACTTCTTGCATTTCATCGTTTCAAATATATACAGAAATAGCAAAGTACAGGTATTTCGTGTTGTGGATTACTGTATTATTTCATATATGCAATAATGAAAAAATATTATTATTATTTTTGGAGGGGGGCAATTGGATTTATAGAAAAACCTGCACACACATTTGATGGGGTCGGTGGGGTAGTTTCTAAAACGCATGCGGTGCTCATAGGTGGGTTCCCTATACTATACCAATGTTTCTACATGTTTACCTGTATGCGTGCCTTATAATTAATGCAATGCAGCAATGAGGAAGCTACACTTAACTGAGGCATGGTCCCCTTGCATGAATGTGCAGCTCGAAGGCTGCAACGAAGTCGTTCTGGCTCAGTTTGATTCCTCATTTCATATCAACACAAAGGAAAATTATATATATAAAAAAAAAGAAGAAGAAAAGTGGCTCTATCAGATGGCAGAAGAGTGTGTTATGAGGGGACCCTTATAGTGGTGCCATGATGCACTATGTTGTGTTTGTCTTAGTTGTTTCTTCTTGTCTTGTCGCACCAAGTCCACCGATTGGACAAAATGTTTCGCTTTCGGGTCCAACCCTTCAATTAGGATGACAAAAATACTCGCATCTGCTGATAAAATTCGTTACGGATAATAAATAGATAGGGTAATTAGATACCCGTAGATAATGGGGACGGATAATTTTTTACCCGTTTATAAATGGGACGGGGTGAGTATGATGATATCTATACTCGCGGGTACCTGTTTAATAATATTTCTTAAATATCTTAATTATTCTTGTACCACATAACTCTAAAACTATACTCTCTCATCTTATTTTCTTATAAAAGTAATGTTGATGAAGTTACCAACATGTGTTAAACATGTTATAAAATTATGTTGGATGTAATTTGATTGATTTTCTAGCTTTGATTGGACCAATAAAATTTATGCATTGTAAGTTATTTACTTTCATTTGAAATTATGAGATTGAATTATTGTAGTTTTGTGATGAGAATTTAACTTGTGAGATTAATGTATATTAAGTTATTAATTATCTTGCATTTTTATTATTATTTCAACAAAATTAACATTAAATACAAGTTCAAAATTAACAATGAATTTTTATTTTTTAATATTTTAATAACATTAAATATAAACTTAAAATTATTTATAATATAATTTTTTTAATTTATTAAATATTTATAAATAGTCATAGATATCCGTAGGTATTTAAGAAATTCATGGATACTCACTTAATAGATACCCGTGCAGATATGAAATAGGTATAAGACTAATTTTTATCTGGCGAGGTGGGACGGGTTTACTATTACCCGCCCCCACGGACCTCATTGCCATCCCTACCTTCAATCATAGGTGGGTGCCTTATTGACTCAACCACCTGCGAGATCATACTTTTTCTCTTGACCTTGTCCCAAACGGCAAAAGCTTGGCAACAGCGTTGTGCATTTGTTAACCTCTAGTGGCGGTTAAAAACTCCAAACCTGAAAAATAATGTTGCTATCCTATTTTTAACTCTTTGCCTAGGTTATAGTACTGTTTGACACCTTTGCAAAATATATTTCTTAAAAGACAAAACTTAGTTATAGTTCTTTAGGTGTGATTGATACTATTTTTCATTTAAAATAAGTTTAAAATAAAGTTGTTTGCTATATTGTTAACTAGTGAAAAGAGGCATTTAATGCCTATGGATTGCTACAATTTTGTTGGAATTTTCTTAATTCAAATTTACACAATTCTTTTTAAGTGATGCGGTGGTGTTGTTCAATCCGGTTCATTATCTCCTCCGAACAATGCAACACGTTATTTTAGATAAATTGCAATTATAATTGTGATATTGATTTGTTCTAAGATGGAGTTAAAGTGATTAACATGATTGTTGAATTGAATCTGAATTTTGAATTACAATTATTTATTTATCGGCTCATGATAAACACACCTCCACTCTCCTATAAACACACCTCTTTTTTAAAAAAAAATATAAAATGTCTAAATTACCCTTAAAAAAAATAAAATTCCTAAATTTACACCCCCTTCCTCGCACCCCCTTCCCCGCACCCCACACCCCCCTTCCCCGCAAGCAGAACGGGCCGTACTGCAAGCAGAACGGGCCGTACTGCAAGCAGAACGGCCCGTCCTGCTTGCAATGAGGCCCGTTCTGTTTGCAGTGCGGGCCGTTCTACAGCAAAACGGGCTGTACTGCTTGCAGTACGGCCCGTTCTGGGGTCGTTCTGTTGCAGTACAAGCCACCGCGTCACTTTTAAAATGGCTACCTTATGACTGATTTTAAAACCCCGATTTTAAAAGTTATTTTTGTACTAATCTTTCTTTCCATAGAACAAGTAAGAGTCTTTCTCTTACAAGACCACCTGCTGACATTGCGCACCCCTCTTCTTTCTCTTTCTGGCACTCCTCTTCTTCTTCTTCTTACTGTTACGGAAAGTTCTTTCCAGAATTATATAAAAATGTTCCGGAAAATACTTTCCATAATATTAAATTCTTATTCCGGAAAGTATTTTCCGGAAATGTTTTGTTACATAATTCCGGAAAGTACTTTCCATAATATTAAAGTTACTATTACGGAAAGTTCTTTCCGGAATTATATGAACAATAATTTTACTATTCCGGAAAGTACTTTCCGGAATGCTAATGACTGTAAAAGTACTTTTCGAAATGCTAATGATTGTAAAAGAGCCTTTCTTATGCTGGTTATGGTGGGGGTTAGTCCTTTTTTTTCTATTCAGAATGACTGTAAAAGTATATTGCTTAATAACATTGAGCGGAAAGAGGCTTTGGGAAGAAGATGTGTGTGGAGTGTGTGGGGTGCGGGGAAGGAGGGTGAGGGAAGGGAGGTGTAAATTTAAGAATTTCATTTTTTTTAAAGGGTAATTTAGATATTTTATATATTTTTTTTAAAAAGGGGGTCTGTTTATATGAGAGTGGAGGTGTGTTTATCACCCGCCTTATTTATCTGTCATTCTTTTGTCTCTTGCTTTTGGACTTTTCCTTCTCTATTCGTGAAAGCCATTAAGCCTTGCTAGCTCTGTTATCGTCACAATCCTTTTAGATAGTACCATTAATTTGGGCCGGTCCATCAAGTAAAATAACTGGTGAGGACATGCAATCAGGGAAAAAAAATGTTAGGTGATTACTTTTTACAAATCTTTTTTTATTTCTCCTTACACCCTAGTTCATTCCTTTATATTTTGGAAATCAATTTTTGGAACATACAAATAATTTCAGAAACTAATTTTCGAAATGAAGAAAAAGGAAATGCAAAGAGAAATATGAAGAGCGGAAAGAAGTTCCCAAAACTTAACGTTGATTCTATAGTTTTATTGAGTTAATAATATGAGTTTAATCTTTATGAATTGTTTGCGTACAAAATTTACATTGTCCAACAATTAAAAATCATCATTGATATATATTAAAGATAAAAGAGGTATTTCGTGTCTCTAATTTTTTATAAAAGAACAAAAATAAATTAAAAAAAAAAGAATAGAAAGAGTGATTGTTGTGTGAATAGTCAATGGAGGTAGAAATAAAGTGAGAGAAAAAGGTGTAAAAAAAATAGAAAAAAAAATAAAGATAATTAATATATTTATATGTACTTAAGAATAAAATGGTTTTACAAAAAATGAAGATAAAAAAGGGGTTAAGAATTTTAGGGGGGTGTATTGGATTAGGATTTGAGAGCTGACATGTTCAAATACATTGGAAAATTACTCTCTTGGAAGAGTAAAGGAGCCAAGGACTTGCTTTGCAGAATCTGTCTCATTTCTGCTGTCTCAAGTGCACTATTCACTAATGACACTGCCTGTGTTGTTTTGACAGAGTTCATTTTGAAAATTGCAAAGCAGCATAATCTACCACCACACCCTTTGCTACTTGCACTCGCTACTAGTGCTAATATTGGTTCTGCTGCAACTCCTATTGGCAACCCCCAAAATTTGGTTATAGCTGTTCAGGGTAAAATATCATTTGGAAAGTTTCTGATTGGTGTTCTTCCAGCTATGCTTGTTGGGGTTTTGGTGAATGCTATGATTCTCA